TGATTATTCTTGAAATGAGTTCTGATACGTTTCCTATTTTATATATCACATTTATTTATGGTTATATAATAGCACCAGATGAAAATACCAAGACGAAACGAAAGAAGTACAGGAGAGATTTCAAACTTACTGTGTTAAATACATGCTGTAAAAGTTCTAGCTTTCCAAGAAAAAGCAATTTCCAACTTCCAAAACCTTGCTATTATTTTCATAAAACAAAAAATTCAAGGAAAATAAAATAAAAAATCTTAACATTACAGTGTACTGCTTTTGAATAATGTTATCTACAATTATAAGACAGACAGTCCATTAAATAGAAAAAAGATTTGTTTTACATAAAGCAAGAGAGTACAAAAGCACAGCTTTTGTAATTTTGGTAATATTGCGGTTTTACAAACATATTGCATAGTATGTGTAAGAAAATAGTTCCCATCTTTTTTTATATATTTATATACAGAAGAAAATCATTAACATGAAGGTTACAAAACAAAAATGGTTAGCAGACCTTTACTGAGTACTGATTGAAACAATATGACACTCAAACTTCGATCCAACTTACATATGCATTGCAGTGAATCAGCTGATAACAATTCCATAGTCTAAGGTTTGGGTTTTTTATTTTTTTTTTATTTAGACAATGATTTAGAATCTTTAAAAAACCATAAAAAATAATACATGGTGTTAGCAACTGAATAACTTAAACATCCTTCATTAAATGCTTCTAGACATTTATGGCTGTATCTTCAACCCAGACTTAATAATCCTATGCATCTAAAATGACTTAAAGTGAATTTTGTTATCCAGTCAAGCCACTGTTTTGCAAGCAAAACAGTATAACTTCAGTTGAAACAAGCAATGTCTTGGCACGTTTTGGAATACATAATCTTTTGTTTTCTTAGGAACACCAAAAGATTCTTGTATGTATGAATAGTAATGTAATCGCACCACACTGACAAAAAATCTAAACCCTGGAAAAAAGTGAACAATCTACAGCTCAAAATGCTGCACAAATCTAAACTATGTTACAATTTCATGTTGTAATTACAACTTGTCATCTCTTCATTCCAACAGAATTAGTAGAAGCAGCAGTGTCATAGTGTTAGAGATAATAGAAGTGTCGGTCTTTGGTCTTATCACTTAACCAATGAATGAACTGCAATACAAAACCATACAGCTAACAGTGCTCAGAGAGGTTGGCTGATGCTTTTATTTTTCTTTTTTTAAACAAGAAAGAGACAGTATCCTATAATATAATGACACAGATATTTTTACAGAAGATAAATCTGTCGTATATATTAAATACATGTATCTAATAAGGTCTTTTCATATATTTTGTTGTTGTCATAAGGATAGCCCTGAAGAAGTCAAACAGCTGCAATATCATCTTAGTGGTTTCCATACAAATGTTTTAGTACAAAAAGAAGCTTTATTTGATACATGTATTCATATACTGTTAAAAAACTCAGAGGAATATTTTAGCCACTGATTTTTTTTTTAAATGGCGCTAATATTAATGCTTAAAAATATCCTAAGGTCTTCAGTCTTTTCCTAAATTGTCACAACAGAGTGATTTGTTAATGGGAAACTCTTGCCTTAACCAGAATAAGAAGTGACATCTCTTTTCTGAAATACACAATCAAAATATTCAGTCAGATAAGCACTCTACCTAAAGAAAGGGTAGCTGGGGCTTAAACATAACCTGAATGTTATATAATACAAATGACCAACAAAGACTGAAATAACTTGGAGACAGGGCCAGAAATCTATGAGGCAGGTGACAAAAAGAATCTGAAAATTTCCTATGGCTTTGTACACAATGACCTCAGCATTATAAAACTAGTACTGAAATAGCACAGTTATGGCTCCATGTTTTAATTTGTGATGAGATCTTCTAGTTTCCTTCCATCTGAAATGACATTATGGGATTATGCCATTTTTCTGATATTTTTGGGGTGCACTATAAGCGGAAGAGCTCTAGTATTGAGGTCTTCACTATCACCAGCTCCAAACATTCAAAAACACTGTGTCTGTTTCTTGTTCCACTCAGGAATGCTGCTGCTGCTTACCTATTATTGGTGTTCTGATTTTTTTAGTTCTCTAAATGCATTGAAATCACTTTTACAATGCTCTCTGAAATCATGTGGGCTAGAAATATTCTTTAAAATGAAAACTGAGATTTTTCCCCTTCTTACAGTTTTCAATGGATTTAAAGTAAAACATCAGTATTATGAAACTCATCAGAATATTAAGACATGAGAACTCATTATGCTATCTCATAGGTTGCTGAAGCTCCCAAATACTCTCTACTTCAGACTGAAGGGACTCCAAGCAAGAAAATCCTGACACTGCAGAGCTATGTGGACTTACTGGCTTGGTTTTGTTGACTCCAATGTGCCATCTGCACCTCTGCCCTGAGTTTTCTTCATACGAAGTGGTAAATTATTCCAGCCTTGCTGTTAAAATGAATCTAGTAACAAAAGATTTTTTTTTTTTTCCTACCTGCCCACTCCCACCCAAATTTGTGTAAAATTTATAAAGGTTGCGTCTTTCCATCCAACGGGCAGAAACCTTTTTCGTACATATTACAGGTAAGTAATCACAAGGTGAAGAACAAACAAATAAGAAATTCTCAATGCAAAATTCATGACAAAGTATCTGCAAGCCATCCTGTGGGTTTATTTCAGGAGAAAAAAAAAAAATCTTAGTCTACTTGTGTGCAATTTGTAAGAAGCCAAAATTTAATTCACCAAATAGACTAGTCACTATAACCTGTTTGTTCATCTTTTAAGTAACCAGCATATGTGTGTGTGCACAGATAATGAATACATATAGATGTTTCCTCATACAGATCCATATACTTTTCCTCCTGAAATACTGTTTATCCACATGACTCTCACACTACCATTCTATTACTTGTGTGCGTAAGAAAAAGCCTACAGTTTTAAGGGTATGTTGTATGGTTACACTTTCTAATGTTTTATTATCACCTCCTTTGTTACTTGTATCTCTTTCTGTCCCTCTCACTAAAAATCCTCAGGCTTCTAATATATTTTCTTGTCATATTTTCTAATATATTTTCTTTCCAAGTAAAAGAATAAAATTTTCAAAGAAATAACAAATAAACTGTTAACAGCCTTCTTTTGAAGAGATAATCCATTTAAAATCTTCCTTTAACTGGTAGAAACAGCAAATATAGCATTCTTGCTATGGGGTGAAATTCACACCTCTGAAGAGGGCCAATGGAAAGGCAAGCACCAGTCAAGCCGTGGACACGTCTTGTGCTGGTCTTCTGCATAGGAGTGAATTTCACCTGAAGTGAAAATAAAATCAACCTTATTAGGTGGTAATAAAATGGAAAGGTAATCACAGTATTAACTTGCTCATTTTCATTTTTTTTCTCTAAGAAAAAAAGTACTGCGTAGAAATACCCACCTGGCACTGTCTGCCCTGACTTTAGAGTTATCTTGCAAAAGCCATCATTGCATTGGTGATCTTACATTCAGAAGCCTCTAAAGCTACATGCTAGGTGATGTAACTTAAAGGATAGAATTAAAAAGCACACTTACCTCATGTAATCAAGCCATCTTCCACAATAGGAAATATTTTTATACTGTTTTACATTCCTGGGTTCTGCAAGTTTCAAGATACTCTTGTTAATCAATGTTGCGATAAATTTACTAGCAGCATACCAAAGTATTTTTTATAAGATTTCCAACCAATTACCAACCAAGCCAAACAAGTATGAACATTGATACAAGAAAGAAATCCCACATCAAACATCAAAAAAAGGAAGTCAGTAGTGAGATCTGAATGCAAATGGGGCTGCACAATTTAAACACAGACCTGATAAAGTCAGTGTAATATCAATATACTTTTTAATATTGAATGTCATTTAATATGTGTTCTTATATATATTACTATTACTTTGAAAACCTTAGCAGCAGATGGTAAACAAAAGAGAATAATAAATGTGAATGTCATACCAGTTGTTAGTGCATTGCTTCTCAGCATTACACGTTACATTAGTACTAATGTTTGTACTGTGTTCAAATGGCAGCAGTTAGACATAGCTAGAAAATGAACAAGATGTACCTTTGAAGATTTTCTCTTGTTTTTGCGTTTGCCAATTATAAATACCTTGTGAAGAGCAACACACTGATCAACAAACATATCATCAGTATTTCCCTCCTAACCCTGTTCTTCTTTTCCAGAAACTGTATGTTCTACTTAAAGCCATCGCTTCACATGCAGTAGCCACAAAAATCCTATATAAGGCCATTCAGATCTGACAAACAAGAGCAGATGTCTTTTTCACTCTGCAAGGTAATATTGCTGAGCACTTCCAAAATTTACCTAGTGTACAAAACCCTAGACTTAGTAGACAAAGAGTAATAACACACTTTTAAAGAAACCAAACTCAGGGAGGGATTCTGTCTCTTTTTGTGTTAAAAACCATTTACTGAATTTAATTGTTTAGTAAAGCAAGCATCACACAATGCTTCAAAATTTTAAAATTCAGGGATAAAAGTTTACATCCAAAAAGATGAATGGAAAATTGTGCTTTCAGACAGTAAAGTTATTTGTCATACAGGGGGAACCAATTCATCTCACCATCAGATTCTGGGTAAATTTGTTTATGTACTGTATATATATATATATGCAGTTCATATCCAGGTCCTGCAAAAATCTAAAACTATGTGCTTCACTTCATGTAGCAAAGGCACCTGTGTTATTCTCCCTTTTGGACAAAAGGTGATATTATGTTCCAGGTTTCCTGATGAAGAATACATTGATTTCTGAATATCTCACTCCCATCTCTACGTTGAGTGGCAACACAAACCACAAGAGAAGGCAGCGCTGTATTCCTGCTTACACTGGAAGAAGTTGCTCTGCAGGCCATTTGAAGCGTCGAACTTGTCACAAGGGAAACCGAGCAGAACTGTGAAGCAGAGGGATAGTAACAAAAGGCTATTCTGGTGTGAGGATAAATTGGAGTCATTCTAGCTCCACAAACAGATGTTGCTACTGGATTGACATGTGGAGCCTGCTCCTGCTGGGGACAGGTAAAGTTTACCATTGGGACACACGCAGAGCTCATAGATAGTCTGGCGAGGAGCTGAAGAGCTGGGTGAGGAAGAGGAGGAGGAAGAGGAGAAGGAACCCACTGGTAGATTTCCCAGACGGATTGTATCTGCATTTAAAAATATCTACACAAGAGGGGGGGAAAAAAAAAAGTAAATTTCTTTCAGCATCATGACATATTTTAAAGACTTGTTTTGAGGCAGAGCCATGAGTTTTTTAGAAATATATAAAAAAATTAGAAATATTTTATTAGAAGTATTAGAAAGGTTATTAGAAATATTAAAAATATGTATAAGAAAATTATTTTTAGGAATAAAAAAGCTGTCAGCATTTCTTGTTTTTCAACTCTGTGTAGTTGTATAACCATTAACACTCATTACTACAGTACATACAAATACTTCATGTTTATTCAGATTCTTGAATAGGTTGAATTTTCACTTGTACATTTTATGATTAAAATTTATTCATTAATGGCAGTAGCATATACTTGCTCTGGAATGATTTGTATTTTAATAAGTGTGAAGTGATATTAAAGCACATTCCCCAGTGTGTTCCTGTAAGCAGCTGGAAATATGTGCTGAACTGTGCTAAATTGTGGCGGTTTAACAACAGCTACATCCAGAGAATAATTAAATAAGGGTACAGAGTCATACGCACAAAATAAAGAGCTTAGTTGACCTATATTAAGAGGAGAAAAGATTTCAGATTAAAGTCTTATTAAGAAGGTCATCAAGCTATTCCCATTTGTTTCTGAACATTGAATATGATTTAAAAGTACTGGTTTTTTTTTTTAGTCTCCTTCCATTGGAAATAACATAAGTCAGTATGAGACAGTAAATACCAGCAACGTTCATGAATCTGTATCAAGTTTTGCAATGTTTACACTTACATTACATTTCCAGAGTGTTTAATAAACAATGTCATGAAATTAGGTTACTAAAGCAGGAAAAAACCATGTTTTCCATTGGCACAAACAGATGAGTTTCCAGCTGCTTAGAGTTTATTTTTTTATTTACTGAAGGAGTAAATGAAAGCCAAAGTAAGATCAGTCATTACTTCAGGTGCAGACTATGAACTTCAAGACAACAGGTAACAAATCAAAATGGCTTTAAGCCCTGCAGATAACAGTACGAAGCTTAGGAAAAGGTGAGTTCCTTAAATACTTACTAGTGTTTTTTATAAGGTATTGAAAATCAGCAAAGCCAGCTTGGTACCATTATATCACAATGTTGGCAGTATGTGTAAAGAATCTGGGGAGATATGGCATGTATTGCTTTTTTCTACAGGAGACAAGTATTATTTTATGATAAAATCAGTGGTATATGGCAGAAAAGCAGCACAGAAACACTATTAAGCCCCTGCTGGAGAGAGGTGAAGGACAGCAGGCTGGGAAAAATTTGAGGAGAGAAGACTGTACAAAATCCCATACAAAGACTGATGCACAGACATGTTGCCGTTCACAGCAGAAGCACTGTAAACGACTGGGATCATCGAAGGAAATACAGGCTGAAAGTAGCCCCAAACAATATAACCGCCCATCATTGTGAGTTCTCCACCTCCCAGAGTAACATACTGTCATCGCTGCCAATTTACACTAAAAGGGACAGAAAGGGAGAATCTCGGAGGCACAGGTGACAACCGCGTGGCACGATGCCTGTTTTAATTCACATCCTGACTGATAGAGGAAATGGTTACAAAACTAAAATGCAGCAAATTATTATCTTTGTTCTGTAATTTATATGACAAAGGAATGAATAATTTACACACACATACACACATAGCTGCTTTAAAAGTCCAGTATTATAGACCTGAAATAATTAGGAGACAAACCCCCCCACAGAAATAATTTAGATGGAAGAAATTTGGATGGCGTTGGGAACAATTTAATAATGTTCTGCCAGTATTACAACTGAAAAAAAAGATTACACGTGTAAAAACATTCAGCTCAGCTAGGAGTAAATGTGAAAGTAACTATAGCAAGCATAATAAGAAAACAAAATAATAGATGGGGAAAAAAAAGAATTTGATAGCAAACTAGAAGCTAGGAATTGCTAAAATGTAGGAAGGAAACAAAGGACATAATCATCAGTCAGTGGAGTGACGGGTAATAAAAAGTACACTTCCACTTCTTATATCAAGAATAAATGAAATGTTAACAAGTCCACTATTAATGTGGCAATGGTGGAGTTATCAATAGTATTGAGTAAAAATCCAGTTGCATTCAACACTGTAAGCTCTACATAAGTGTATCTGTAAGTATAAGTGTATCTTTTATACTGAATAGTGCTCAGCATAGTTCTGTACTTGGAGAAGGATCAAGTATTGATGTCAGAACATGACTGTGATAAAATACTTTCAATTTCAACAGTAACTCAACAGGATATTAAACAGGAGCCAGTAATGTCATATACTTTTAATCAGCAGCTTTTTATATCTTTTAACAAATAGATCTCAAAAAAAATCTGAGCAGCCTTTTGGACTTTTAATACTGATTTTCTGTAAGCCCTAATATACTTAGAATATCAAAGAAGATAACAAAAATACTATTTCTACGCTTTTGTTTAAAAAAATAGAAGCAGGAGATATTGGAATATTATATACATGATAATAAAAGGCACTTCAGTGTAGGAGACATACATGTAAGAAAATCCAACAGTAGAAGATTAGCTATTTGTACTTTTGACAGAGCATGTGACTGGCCATTTTAACAGTTTAGCTGCAGTGGTGATGGGGAAGGATCATGAGAAATCTGTAAATCAAAATTAAATGGGTTCTAAAAGACATGTCTTGTTGATTCAAAGACAAGAATTAACTCAGAAAAAAATCAGAGGACGTGTCAGAGATCAGGCTAGATTAAATTCTCTTGAACTTTATTATCTTTTTTTCTAGGAGCTCAATATTTTTATGTGTTTGTTTACATCAGGACAGCTACGCTTCTGCAACCCTCACTGCAGATGTTCTGTAGTGTACTACTCTAAGACTTTAATCCAGTGGACCTTACTCCAGTGTGCATTACAATACAATGTAGGTCGGTTATTTTGCTCATTAAATTAAATGATCTTTTTAAGCATAGCTGTGCATGCTTTTCCACTGGTGCTTACAAATTTCACACTGTGATGTAGATCAATCCAGGTTTTTCTGGTGTCATAATCTTGAGTGGTAGCTATTAGGTCCTGTCCCAGCACGCATCCCAGAACATCTGGTGAGCAAAGTGGATACAGGGGTATGGTGTCTGAGAAAAACTGAAGTGGCTTCTTGTGAGGATGTATCTGCCGCGGTGAGTCTAACAAGCTCTATGCCTTTGCAGAAAGAGCAATGGGAAAGCTGTGCAATTTAAACAGACTCCTATAGCTAATCCCTGGGGAAGCCCGAGATGATGAGGATTAATAAAGATGGCTTAAAGCTAGCATTAAAATCTACTCTGTACATATGCTGTCAAGGTTGTAAATAAAAGACTAACTTTACAGATGTAACTTTGCTATCTATCAGTTAAGCAGGGGTCCAAATATATCATTATAGTAGCCCAATACATAAGGAATTTCAGAGGAACATAGTCCATGTTTGAGGATATACCCTCTCCCCTCCTATCATCTGATAAAAACTGAAATTCATGGCCGAAAAGTCCTCCAACATCAGTAAAACTTAAACTACTTACTGTTTTATGCCTGATGTTGTGAGGTATTTAAAGAGAAGGGAAGAAGTGGCAAGACAAAAAAACTGAACAGTATTATGTTCCCAAGGAACACTGTTGCTAGATGACAGTAGTTAATGGAAGTGCTTGTATACACAGTCTTTCTCTAATCTTTTGTGCTGTGAAAAGTATGAGATAAGCCATTTAATACTTCATACGCATCAAGGCCATGCAAGCCAGTCATGCTCTTTCTGTGAGTCTCACACCTCAGCAGATAAATAGGCAAGGATAAAAACAAAACTTTTATCCATTCTTGAAACATTGTAGGAGACTGACTGAGGGGTTACAAAATGGAAAAGGCAGCAGCTACTCAGAGAAATGCTATTTCACAGAGAGCAGAGCACTGTGCAGCATCATTCCCTCTAAATACTCAAGGTTTAGAAATCCTAGATCACTGCTTTGTCTTGTGCATCTTAGTGCCAAGAAAAATATATTATCCCTATAATTTTTAAAAGTAGACCCGGTTTCTGACTAATTAAAGTAGCAAACTGAATCAGCCTGTAGGGCATGTGATAGGAATGGAAAATTGTACTCTTTTTACATACTTTTTTTGCTAATGGAGATCTGCAAGTCATCTGCTCATCAGACTGTAATTGTTAATCTGTGAGATTAACAGTGAGAGGGAAAAGGAGAGGAAGGCAGGCCAGAAAGTATAGGTTATCTACAAACCAAAGAACTAAATTGAAGGAGAAAACTTTCAGTGGGCAAGATATAGACATGAGGTAAAAGATCAAATATTCCTACATGCCATTTCATACAGCGATATGAACCTGCCATGTATAAAAGTTTTCCACTGGGTTCATGACTAAGTCCTCTCAAAAGAGGAGATGATAGGCTAAGCTGATAAAGCCAAACGAAAGAGTTAGGATTTATAAACATTGAAGAATTTTCTGTATTCATGTGGAGTTTGATTAGACAGGTAATTCTACAGAGCTGCAAAGGCATATTTCTGGACTAATGTAGATAAGAAATGGCAGGAAACTGTAGGAAATGTGAAAGAAAAGAAGGAAAACTGAAAGGCTGGTGTTCATCAACCAGTATGAGGAGACAGTGTAATGACATCTCACTAGATAAACCTTTTGGATTCCCTTAGGCTCTTCAGAATTAATCTGAATTATAACAATGTAAGATTTTGTCTCGTCTTTTTGCTCTTCTGCATATGCTGTCCGAAGCATACATACAAAGAGGATTATATAGATTGGGTCACTAGACTCAACTATGTAATTTTCATATGCCAGTATGTTTTAACATTCAAGGTGGAGATGAACTATAAGATAAATTGCAGTACTTCAGTTCACATGGGCCATTTGTTCTAACACTTCTCTGTGTCTTTGACATTTACTTTAAAACCATTCACCTAAACTAGCTTTCATAAAATCTGAAAGATAGTTCTGAGAAAAAGAAAAAAATTTCATAATGGAAAATTAAAATATT